CCACAACTAGACTGAAGAACAAAAGGACAGCAACTTGTCTGTTCACCTTCCCCCGATTCCCCAGTGCTATTCCCCTCCCCCAATTCCCCAATAAAAATCTTTAATAAAAAAACCAAAAAAAAGTGAGACCATAGCTAGTAGAAAAAGTGAGATTGGGGAAGTGTTGTTTAAAAACAAAACAGATAGAATTACAGAGCCTGCTTGTGATTAATGGGAAATACCTTGTGGAGAGGGAGTGGGGGTGGATAATTGAAGGAGTGAAGTTCTTGAGCAGGTGCAAGGAGATAAGATCCAGGGTGGGCATGGAGGGAGTGGCTGTTTGAAAGGATCAGAGTTGTATCTTTCATCTTAAGTGGAGGGGAAGCAGAGAGGATGAAATGGTTGCAGCTAGGTTTGTAAATTTGATGGTGGGACAGTGATTTGCCTCTGCCTCAAGCTTCTGTTTTTCCAGTGATGTATGAAGTGAGAAGGGAAGGAAAAGGGGTTTGAGAAGAGAAGACATGAAATACCGGAGAGTGGAAAGTCAGGTTACCAAAGGATAGCAGGAATGTTGTACATTAGAGAGGGGTCATTCAAGATTTATGGTAATAAATGTATAATTTTTTCCAGTCACTTTCAGTTGCTCTGTTCCTACCACAGAGGTAGCATAGATTCCTCTGGATTCATCCAAGGTTGTACTCTTGCAAGATGAATGCAATGATTGAAGACTGGATGAAGGAAATTAAGGGTTTTAGCAAAGTAATGAAGGATCATGAATGTAAGCTGATTAAGGAGGGGATTAAAAACAGGAGGGATGCACAGGGGATTGTGAACAGTTAGAAAAGGGATGTTATTCATTCATTTGGTTTACTTATTCACTACAGTGGAGCTCCTACTATGTGCCAAATATTGTTCTAGGCCCTGTGGATATATTCTTGAGCAAGACTGGCCAAGTCCTCTCACAGAGTAGGGTGAGGTAAACAAGAAACAATGAAAACCAATAATTGTTAAAGTCAGATATTACAGAGGGCTATGAAGAACTATGAAAAAGATAGGGAGGTAGAGAGCATCAAATGGAAGGAGAGAGCAGTGGCAATTTAGATAAGGTGTTCCATCTGGGACGCCTCTCTGTGGAACTGAGCAGAAACCCGGATGTTGTGAGAAACACGCCTGTGAATAACTGGAGTAGTGGTTCGGCTGAGGGAACACTGACTGCTTTTCTATTTTAATGTCATTAGTTATCGAATAGTAAGGCCAACAATGCCATGATGAACAAGAGATTTTTTTCTCTCCTATTGTATTTTTAAATGGTGTTTTCACGATACCGAAGTGACACCACTTGTTTAAGCAATTGGTTATTGCACAGAACTCATTAGAGTGAGCAATCAGTTCAGTTAAAAGTCCCATTGAAGTAGACCAAATGTGTAAATATGAATATACCATACACAATGGGTTCATGTCTAATTTGTTTATCATTCCATTCTCCAATGACCAGCATTGGCATGCCATATGTAATAAGGCTCAATTAATATTTAAGTCAGTTTCATGCCCATAAGTAATTTATAATACTTACAATCACAAAACACATTCCTCCCTTCAAACTTTTTCAAAGAAGTTCTTCTAAGGGAAGAACTTGAACAGAAACCTAGAATCTCTTCCCCTTGCCCCTTGAGTATAGGGACTTACTTTAAATAGCTTTTAAAGTATTTAGATATAATTTCTATACCATAAAATTTACCTGTTCAAAATATACAGTTTAGTATTAGTATATTCACAAAGTTGTGCAGCCATTATTATTACCTAATTCTAGAACATTTTTCTCATCCCCAAAAGAAACCCCACACAGACTGGAGTCACTGCCCATTACCCCCTCCTTCCTGCCCCCGGCAGCCAATATCTACTTCCTGTTCCTATTTGCCTATTCTGGAGATTTCATGTAAGTGGAACCACATAATATGTGTCCTTTTGTGTCCAAAATGTGTCATTTAGCTGGCATAATGTTTTCAAGGTTAATCTGTGTGTTTAGCAGGTATTGGTACTTCATTCGTTTTTATTGCTGAATATTATTTCATTGCATGCATATACCATATTGTGTTTATCCATTCATCAGGTAAAGGACATTTGAGTTGTTTTCACTTTTTGGTTATTACGAATAATGCTTCTATGAGCATTCAAGTAGAAGTTTTTGTGTGGAGATATGCATTTAATTCTCGTAGGTATATACCCACAAGTATACATGGCTGTTTAAAGACCCAAACTTAAAAAAGTTTTATTTTACAAATATTTCTCGCTTAACTCCGTCATATATCTGTTTTAAAAGGATCCATTAAGTTATTCCCAGTTACTTATTAAGCTGCTAGTTGAATTGCTAATGTTTCTCCAGAAATCTGAGTAACCCTGGCCCTACAGGAACTGTCTCCTAAGCCCCGTGTCTCTGGAGCCTCCTGGCTCACTGCCCACTGCCTGGGTGCATGCCAGGATTTCAGCTGCGCTCTGTCTGATGGGGCATTGGGAACGCAACTCTGAACAGGTTGTGGCTTACCTTTTGGTCTGTAAATATTGCTTCTTTCTTGAAGAACCATACATTCTTGGAATTTAAGAATTAGATAGGATTCTTGGAGCGTACCTAATCCCATCCCTTTGTTTTAAAGGCCGTTGAACTAAGGGAGAGGCCCAAGAGGTTAAAATGCTTGCCCGAGTTCCTATGGAGGGTTAGTGAACGGATGAGAACCCGGATCTCTTCTGATCCTAGTTCATTGCTCTGACTACTAAACTTTGTCTCTGTTGTCTGAATTTACAAGTCATAAACCAAAAAATAAACATAATTTGTATAGGTGTGATTTTCAGATAAAAGTTTACACAAAATGCTTTCAGCGTGTTATAGGGAAAAGCTGACTATCAGCCTCACACATTAATTCACAGGGACAAGGAAAGAAACTAGGAGTATTAAGGAAATACTCTCACTTTTAGTTTGTGCATAAGGAGGAAAGAATGATAGGCATTTGTAAACACTCAGACAATTATAAACAAAGGTCAGCTATTCCTATTAACTTCCCTTAAGAGTCAGCCCTTTTTCCTTCTCATTACATTCTAACATTTACATACCAGTAGCTTAAAAAGGGGGCATAGGGATTAAGCATAATTATATTATCCAAGTGTAGTTGAAGTACCCAGGGGATTATGCAGTTAATCGCTTTGATCTTCTAAATGTCATGCTGGATATAGTTTATCCCTCTCACAGTGAGTCAGAAGTGGGAATGGGTTCATTCACTATTTCCAGTAAGTGGCTTATTTACCCTCCAACAGGTGTTGTGACTGGTGGGAAAGGGTAGGACTGGAATGCACACTTATTTGGAGATCCCAGAAATGTACCCTTGGGCCCTGACATAGGGCTGTACGTGAGGCCACAGGCAGCTGAGAGAGTTGGCAGCACCACATCTACCCTCCAGCTCAGAAGAGACGCTTGGATCCCCTGAGTCTGGGAAGACTGTTCCCTCGCACAGAGCCAGGAACAGGCGCTGTGGCCCAGGCACAGGTCTCAACTCCCCCACTGACTGTGTGCTGTTGGGCCATTCACCTTAGAATCCAAGTCCCTCATCTGTAAAATGAGGGAGGTAGACCAAATTTTGATCTTTAAAAATTGTTTTGGCTTTAAAATGCTATGGCTGTACACCCTACTAATTTAACATGGCAAGTGTATAGGATGAAAGGTCATATAGAACGGTGATAAGAGCTCAGGACTTAAAGTTTTACAGAACCATTTTTGAGTCCTTTGTGTTTATTGGGCAAGTTACTTAATTTCAGTAAGCTTTCATTGTGTTATACTTAAAAGGGAAATGATGATCAGAGCGTCTAACTCATAGGGCTATTTGGGGGAAAATGTCATTATGCAGTCTAGTCATTAGAACAGTGCCAGATACATCCTGTGATTCAGTGCATATTTATGAGCAGTAAGCAGTATTTTTATTTTCTTTAAGAACATTTTATCCTAACAATATACTGTTCCCTTTAGAAATAAATGAATATAATTCTAGTAGATTTTAGTAATATTATAAAGTGTATATATAATTAAAGTTATAATCAATTAACTATAAAGTAAACTAGAAAAAAAAGACTCATAATTTGGATGATTGAATAGTAGATATGATAGGGGAAGAAATGGGCTGAAGAGGTGAAGGTTATGGAGCAAGTGAAAGAAATCTGACTTATTTTCTCCTTTGCTTTTTTGTTGTCTGTAATCTTCCTCTTATGTATTTTTGTACTCTCTTAATTTGGAGATAGAATCATCCATGGAAAATGTATCCAAGTTAATAGCTGTTCAGAAGTGGGGCCCTATATTATCTTTTAAAGACAACAACATTATTATTGTTTTGTTATCATGTAGAAATAAAAAGTAAATCTATGCAACTCCATGTAAGCTATTTCCTTGTAATTTCTGCTATTATTTTTGTAAGTACTATTTTGGTGTGAACCTTCTAACAAAAGCTTCATAACTTTAGAAAGAGATACTCAGATATTTCTCCTCAGTTAGGATGTTAGTATGAAAGTGTCACTATTCAATAGTAGTTTCCTGAACTATCTGAATGAATTTGCTTAAGATAAAATATTTACAGAATCAAAACCCATTTGTTAAATACTGTGGGAAGAGTTGGCAACTCTAAGTATAATGGTTGATATCTTGGAGAATTAACTATCCAATTCTTTAAAGAAGGGGTAAGCTGTCTGTGGATGTGTAAATGACATGATAGTGTAGATGAGATTTTTAATGGTCATTTTTGAATGTATATGTCCTATACGTCCCATACCTCCATCACCATCTTTTCATACTTCACTGTTGCAGGTGACAAATAAGAAATGAAATATTGTGACTCCTCGCTACAATCTCATTAAATTCGATGTGAACAACTCAAACCAGAAATGCTTTCTTGTCTCCCTGAAAAAATTACTTTCCACTGCATTGTAATTTCTGGCTAGGGTAATGTTCTTTAGTCTCTAACATTTCTTATATACTTCTTTTATAGGAAGCCAGTTGTAAGAATACCCTACCCATCCTTCTAACAGAAGACTTAGACATGCAAAAACCATCTCCAAAAACCAAGGTAAGTTATATCTGATTTTTAGGCTTTCATATGAAACATTTAGCAAGGCTTTTTATAGTCTCGTGTTTCCATGTTCTGTTGCTTGCATTTCTCTCAGACTTTTTAAAATTTTTTTGGACCCAGCAGGATAAAAAGCCTTTTTTTAGTACTTTTAATCCAAGGTTATATTCATACAAAAATTCTCAGGATGCTCCTATTATTTAACAGAAAGTGATATTTTTTAGTAGTGGTCTTCTGCTCAATCAGAATTGTTTCCAACCTACAGAACAGGAAATAGTTTAGTTTAGTAAATTTTTCCTAGGTTACTTCACAGGATAAAATAAAATGTCCAATTATAACTTTTTTCAAAATAGAAATCACTTTATTGATTTTTCATAATTATAAAATATAATTAATTATTTAACAGTTTAGTTTATTAATCTATTATAATTATTTAAAATATACTTTCAAAATCATAAATATAGCATGATCAATGGAAAGTATTTAAGTCAATTTTAATAAGAAAAAATAAGAACTATCATACATATGACAGAATAAAGGGTCTAATGTGTAAAATTTTGTTTTCCTATTAAAAAAATCCAAAATGGCACATGGTTGTTTTGCCAGGAAAAAGAAAAACTCTTTTCAACACATAATATGTTAGGAAAATTTGATCATTTGTTCATTTGATGATTGTTCAAATGATCATTTGATCATTCAAGCCAGAAAAGTTATGACATTCATTTTAGAGCCCCTTTCATAATCTTTAATACTCTCTTTTAAGTAAACTTTTTCTGTTTATTAGGTATATATAATATTCCTAACTGGCCACTGTGACATTTATGCAGCTACTTTTTTTCTTTACTTCTAAGATAAATGTTCTCCAAACTTCCTTGAGTCCACTATAAGGAAAATTTAAAAGAATTCTAGTCCCTCATTTTAATTGCCAGTTACTATAAAAATAATTGTGTCTTTATTTTTAAAAGCAAATCAGGGAAAGTACTGAGTCATTACTTAGTGTCTTCTTTATGGTAAGAGTCCATAGTTTATTTTGGAAAGAAATAAAAAAATCTTTCTTTATAAAAGTTATTCCACTTTGATTTTTTCTGGAAAATTATTTTAACTGTCATGCTTTCCTTTCCAGATTCAAACTACTGTATTTTGCTGTGTATCATGTGCACTTTTTTGCCCAAATTTGTGAGGGAAAAATAGGGATGCACATTATACATGGGTAGTACTGATTTCGTATCCATATAAATGATTTTAATTCTGTTATTTATGCTTATGAATTAAAAGTGTAACTCTAGAAACCAATAACGATATCCATATGCAAAATAATGCCCTGGAATATGATAATCAGTTTTGTTGAACTTACGACAAAGAGTTTTTAGCCTTCTATGATGTATAAATATCATAAATGTATTACTGCTAGATAAAATTTCTTGTACCTTGTATCTAGTCTTGTGTTTTGTAAGTGTTTGTTACATAGAATTTCTTCTACCATAATATGTTTAAAAATGAATGCTAAAATTCCTTTATAATACAAAAAACAACTACCTAAATATAAACAAATAAAAATTCGTTTTAAAAAATTAAAATGAAAGATTTTTTTCCCTGAAAGTTTGAGCCAAAAACATAGGTGTACATTATACATGGCAAAATACAGTGTTTTATGTGTGTTTTTCAATGAAATGTTTGTGTATGCAAATTTATATATAATTAATTCAAATGTATAGTAGAAATTTTGTTTACTATGAAACTAATAAAATTCAGTGTCAGAAATATACTTATCAAACAAATGCGTTAAAAAATGTAGAATTTGAGGGAAAATTTTAGGTACCATTTGCTTATTAACTCCATTTATACTTATTTACTTTTAGGTAAAGAGACCCTAGATAAATCACTTCCTAAATAAAAGATAATCTCGAAGCCTATCGTAATAACTGTTCGAAGGGCTTTGTTAGTCATATGAAGTCAATGCCATTTGGAATGTTTCAGGCAGATACAGAATCGATGATTAGTCTGCATTTATTATCCTCCGTCAGTCTTCTTTATGGCTCATGACCAAATTAATTCAATAGAGAAATTACTTCATTGGTTAAGTCCTGGTTTGTAACTTTAGCTTCTTTGTGGCCTTACGTGAGCAAGTGTAAATTTACATGAACAAACTAGGCTCTGCTTAGTTTAAGAGTGATTCAACTCTTTGTAATTTCAAATCCCAGAAATGAGACAAACACAGAGCATGTGAGCTACAAGAGAGTATAAGGCACTAACTCTTTCACCAAGATTTTCTGTGAAGATCTTTTTTCTCCAGTTGATCTTTGAAAGCTAAACTTGAGAACACCTTTAAAACATGGTTGATGTGTCCTTTCTAGAGTGACTTAAGGAAGTATGAGAATGATGTGTATCCTTGGTATTAGTGTAACTCCAGTTGGACTCCACAGTTGTCTTTCTCAGATGTCTCTTGTTACAGTTGTATTTGCCTTGGACAGCTAAGTATTTCTGATCCCTACACGGCTAGAAGTGTAAAATGGTAATCCAGAAATGGCATATGTCCATTGGCTCTGGAGATGTCTCTCTAGTCTGAGCCATCTGTCCTCATGTGTGTTCCCTCTGCCAGCTGTTGTCTCTGCTCTTAGGCAATGAGAAGGATTCTATTTCTTCTTCCTAAGGTAGGAAAGCCTCTTTTTGATTTGAGTCCAAGCTGAAAAAAATGATACCTCCATTAACCAGTGCCATGCTACTTCGTGGATGAACGGATGAGCAGTGATCACCAGCCCTGCTAGCTCAAGGACATAGTTATACAACCATTTCTTGTCCAATTCTGTGTAGACTACATATGCAAACAAATAATTGGAATAGAAGATACTGAAGAGAATATAAAATTGATTTTTAAAGAGGTGTAGAACATAGAAACACACAGTTCCTTGAACTTAGTACAATCATGACTAGAGGAGAGGAGACAAAGTCATTTTCTACCGAATATATGTACTATGACTTTAAATGAGCCTTACAACCCATATTCACTTTCCTGAAGAGAATCTAGGGAACTGAGGGAAGAAAACTATGTTTTATCTCTCTTCCCTTGGTGTATGCTCTAAACTTCCCACTGCAGTTGCTGTGTTCCTGACCTCAGCAAAAAATTCAAGATCAGGTCATTGTATGCGGATGAATATCAGATTCATTCAGTGCTGAGATGAAAGTATAAAATAAACTGTGATCTATTTCTTTCTTGACTTTTATCCGTGGGTAAAAGTATATTGATAAAAGTTGATATTACACACACGTAATAGTTTTGGTTAATCATTGGATTATCCTAATGTTTTATAGATGTTTTCTTTAGTAAACTGTCATAGTATTATAACTATAAATTGTGTGATAAAAGATAATGTTATCAAGTCAGCAGTTATATAGTAGAAGCAACTATTAAATTATATTTTTCTTTTCAAAGGTTAATGGTTTCAGGGGCCCTGAATCATTTATGAAGATTTTCTTCAATAATGAGATTAGTTGGCACAGTTGTATTTAAAAAAAATTTTTTTTAAATGCCTATGTCTATTGGCAAATTAAACTAGAAACTTAAAATAATGTAGGGTTTTGAGAAGATTTAGTGGCAATATAATTTAATTTTTAATATGAAAATTAATAGAAAGAGTAACTTAATAAGCATTAAATTTTACAAAATTTCCAAGCTATTTAAAAATCATTGTTAATGGACATGCATATATTTTATGTTGCTTTAATTAATGTGTGCATTCTAATTAGTGTTTTAGTTTTTCCAGTTAACATAATTTCCACGATGTGTTTCCATGCATCAGCCTAGTTTGCATACTTACTTTTAATAAAAGTAATAGTAGTAGTAGTAGTAGAAGTAATAGTGATGATGATGATGGGTAACAATTAACAAGTGCCACTCTTGGAACTTCTTGATGTATATTACTCTTACCTAATCAGATTTCATGTGTTGTATATTTAGACAACTTGAATATTTGGCACTGTTTCTAATTTATCATAAACATAAAAAGCACTATTACATAAATGTTAAAGAATAACTTTTAAATGTTGAACAGTATTTTTTTATATTTTTATTACCTATAGTAGAATTAATGGATATGAATAGTTTTATGGCTAATGTACTATCACTCTAACATACTATCTTCCCTCAAGATAACACTATTTTGAAATTAATGTGTATCATTTCCTTTGTTATTATAGGGTAACTACAGAAACACACATACACACACACACACACACACACGCACAGACTATGTATATTACAGTTTTTCTGTGCATCATTTTCTGCAACTTTGTTTTTCTGTTCAGTATGCTCTACCCATATCCATTTTATGTTAAGAATATACGAGAGTTTATTTAGGCATTATTCTAGGTTTTCTAATATTTAAATTCTCTCCAATATTTAAATCAGTTCCAATATTTTGTTATTCCAAACCATTTTTAAGTGAATAATTTTCACATGATACCTTTTAGACATCTGTAAAAGTTGGGTCATAAGTAGGTACATCTTTGTCCAGGCATTACAAATGCTCTCTTAGGATGTTGTGCCAATTGACATGTTCAATGGCTGTGTATGATTGTTTCCAGTTTTCACATCCTCGCCAATCCTTGGTAATATCAGAGTTTTTATTCCCTCCAATCTAATGAGTGTGTGATGAACCTTGCTATTGCCTTAAATAGGTTTCTCTAATTTCTTGTTGTCACGGAGACATTTATTACTCATTGAATATTCATGTGCTCCTCCAGCATTGCAGTTAAGTGGGGCCAGCCTACTACTCTGGCCTACAGGCTATGAGCAGAAGTGACAAGTGTCACTTAAAGGGCAGAGAATTCAAAAATTTGTGCACAACTCTTCAGCTCCCTGTTGCAGTATGGCAATGAGGCAGTAGCACATGGGTGGTTTAGTGCCTTTGGTGGAGCAGCGCCCTCTGTCAACTTGCATTGGATGTGTGCCAAGACTGAGCCAATAAACCTCTGTTTTGTTAAGCCACTGAGATTTCCAGGTT